TGTGGTGGTGGAGATAGGATTTTTTGAAGTTGGTGGGGTTTTCGTGAAACTGGGCGTTGGGTGGGGCTGGGCGTTGGTTGGTGGAACACGTTAATTAAGATGTGTAGTTTTCGGATTTATTTGTATCTATTGACAATTAGCTCGACCTACGCTCCGCGTCCCTCTGTGCCATGAAGCATTCTTTGAATGATTTTGTCACTGGTGCATCCCCTGGCTCCACTGTAGATATCTGCCACAGTATTGTTTCCCTTCCGCCAACCTGCGCTCAGCTTCACCAGTTCTGCGGCGACGTCAATGCCAAGACGCCGCCCATATCCACCCATCAATCGATCCCTGCCGTCAATTCATCGGCTCGGCGCATGCAGTGGGGCAACACCCAAAGCCACCTTCTCCGACTCTCTCCTCCATCTCTCCCGACCCCGCAAATATCCAATTCCACAGTAATTCCACAATTCCCCGGCCATGAACGGAGACGGGTCCAAACCGCCCCAGCAGACGCCTGCCTGTCCAACCTTCGTGGATCCTCCACCGCGGGCTGATATTGACGAGATCCTGCGGCGGAAACGGAAAGCTCGCGAGTACAAAGTATGGCCTGCCTATGTCCCTGCGCGCGAATACTGAACTGCTCAAGACCTTCTTGAAATGGACACTGATATCTCAACCTCCAGGCTTGCTACCCATGCCGCCAAAGAAAGGTCAAGTGTGACCAAAATGTGCCATGCAAGACTTGCGTCGTGCGCGAGCACCCAGAATTATGCTCATACCATCCGCCCTCTGAGACGCACCCGCCTGCAAAGCGGCTCAGTATGCACCATGTTGGGCACAATGGGAATGACTTCTCCAATGGCTTAGTACATATCCATGGCGGCACGGTCACGCTTCCAAGAGAAGTACGAGTCTTCGATGTTGTTTATCACCTCCGCTGACATGGAATAGGACTGGGAACGAATCTGCGACAAACTGCAAACTGCAGAGAAATCCTTGGCTGAGCTGAAGAACTCGATCAGCAGCGTCTCCGAAGTTCCGCCCAACCCTCCTCCGCCTACCAACGGATACTCTCCTGCGACCGCTGGCAATACTCCCTTGGCTGCGCCTGCGCCGATTGACAGCGAACAGAGCCATGTCCGAGTTCAAGGGATCCATACACACAATGAATTCACCGGCCAGACCATACACATTGGGCCCAGTTCAGTGCCAGCGCTGGTTATGGCTCTGGGTCGTGGTGACTCACAGTGGCCGGGGCTAGCAGATTTGCTAGGCAAGAAGAGCATGCTTCCCATCTTCGGCCTGGATAACGAGAGCGCAACCTACCCCTTTGTTGACCTCTGGGGACTCCCACATGGTTCCATTGCGCGCGCCCACGAATTGGCGAACGCGCTACCGACCGATGCAGAATGCCTTAATTTCTTCCGTTGTTACAAGGAGACCGCACATGCGGTATACCCGGCCGTGGCAGACATAGAGGCCATGGAGTCTGATCTCTTGCTGTTCCTCATAAACCGTGCGAGCTCTCAAGCTGGTGGCGGGGTCACGGAAGAGCACATTCATGGCAAGAATTTCCACTGGATCGGGTTGCTGTTCGCGATTCTCGCGTCGGGCTGCCAATGCTCGACTCTAGGGAGGAAAGAACGGGAGTTGACCTCGCAAGTCTACATCTGCTGTAGTTTCGAGTGCCTGCGCTTCACCAATTTCCTTTCGCATGCCACGCTCGAGACCATCCAAACTCTGCTGATCATTGGAAACGTCCTCTCCAACAACATGAATGCAGGCGTAGCTTGGAGCTTGATGGGCCTTACAGTTCGATTATCGCAGACGCTCGGTCTGCATAGAGTGTGCCCTCCATCAACGCCTTTGCACATCAAGATCACACGAAGCAAAGTGTGGTGGGCATTGCTCTGGCAAGACTCGTTGTTATCGATCTCGTATGATCGCGCTTCATCGACTACCACGATCGATCACACGGTACCATTCAGTCCGCACACCGCTCCAGGCACAAGAACATATGTGGAAAGCATGTATCGCCTTTGCAAGGTAGGCTTGGATATCGTGCGCGAACGACAACGGCCGCAGAATTCGCACGATGCTTTAATGAGGATCTCGGAACACCGCAGCGAGCTCCAAGAGATCATGGCGGACGCTGCAGACTATCTAAAAGACTCTAGGCGATGCCGGTCGATGCGCGATCAGTTGGAACACTGGGCTCTCTACCTGCACATCTCGTACATTACGTCGGAGCTCTGCCGACCAGCAATCAGCCCTAGTACTGCGGACCTCGATCTATCGAAGACGTTGCGGAAGACGTGTATCGACAGCCTCACGAATACGGTGGAGGCCTTCCTTGGCCTGCAAAACATGACTCCTTTCGCAAACCGCTCCTGGTCCTCAATGCACCGCTCCATTAGCTCCGCCCTCCTTCTCGGCATCCTCGGTGAACACTTCCGCAACGAACGAGCACGCTCTCTTCTCCAGAACCTGGTGCAGGTCCTAACCGACATCACGGCCAATGTGGATCCAGCCGAGCTCTCCTCTCCCGTCACTCGCTCCGTCGCGGCCTTGCAAAGACTACTCAGTATCCCTAACCCCCGCGCAGGTGTGCTAAAGGCAACCAGTGATGGTTCTGGATCGCAGACGTCGCCCACGCTTGCCAACTTCACGGCAGATGAGTTGAATGCTGCGTTCAACCTGGACGATCCCGCATTCAATCAGTCCCCTCTGGTGGGGTTGGAGCTGGATTCGTCGCCGTATGCGCTCATGGAGTCAATTGTGTGGGGTGGGAAGAAGTCGCCGTGAACGAAACGCCGTTGACCGATTTTCTCAAAGGATGAGAAACGTCATGGGGAATCATCAACCGTCCGTCAATCCACGCAGAAACAGATCTGTCTTTATGCCGCAGCGTAATGCGCCGGCTCAGTGTAATCATACTCTAACGCTCCGTTGGAGGTTCCTTGTGGGATGAGGGAAAGCCCTTGGACACATTATCAGACGAACATGGACCATCGATGCGTCAGACGTTGGTAGACGAAGAAGACAGAAGAAGAAGACTGTCATCTGGTTGCTTGTACGCTAAGCGCACTGTTTTAAAGGGTGCTTATTCCAGCGGAGAGTGGCAGTGTTGTGCGCGTTTCAAAAGAAGGCAAAAGGTGTGTGGAAGGCGAAAAGTCATTTGGGAATAGCATAACTGGGAAAGGAGTGTAGGCGCACCTGTATTCAAAGACCGGGCTACGAAACCTATGTAATGACCACGACTGTAATGACCACGGGAAATACTCGTCAGATATTCCAATATACTAAGATTAGCCACATTCACTACTGCGAGGTGAAAGCCTCCCTCGATTGCGCCGAAGGCCAGGCCTCTAGGATTCCGAATCCAGACCTTGTGCGATTGGCCGCGCACCCGCCGCCCTCGCCGTGAAACGCGTCGCTTGAGACTTGCCGGCCGCAGACACGCATGTGCCTGAGCTCCGGGGTAGTCTAGCTGCGGGAACTGTTGTTGTTGTGTTGTCAGGTCCCATCGCTGCACCCCCTCCTTCGGTTTCCCCCAACCTCTCCTCCTCGCCTACCGACGTCAACCTCAACACCACAGCTATCACTTCCGTCGCTTTTCACCACCGCGCGGTCTATCGACGAGAGAGGAGTTGCAAGTCAATCGCGTGGAGCTTGGGATACGTGAGTGCTGTTCTTTTTTCTGTTGGGTGGTGCGGCGCGCATGTGGTTGTTATGGTTGAAGAGGGGCCGGTGGGTGGGCGCTTGCGCGGATGGGGCGACGCTGTGGAGTTGGGTGTGGTTTATGGCGATTGTACTTTTTGTTCAGTTCTTCTCTTCCAAAGTCGTTCTATCGTTTCTGGCTTTTTCGCGTCGTATCCTCTGTCGGCGGCGTTGCTGTCGGTCAGTGTATCCGGTTGGTGTCGTCCGCCGGCTCGCTCGCAGCTGAGAGCACGGCGTCGCAAGTATACGCCACGGCCAAAGGAAACTGAGAACGGGGCTAACATTCCGAGCGTATAGGAACAGCCTTAGTAGTTTCCATTTGCGGAGTTTCTATTCAACGAGTGTCCATATCTCTCGAACATCGACTCCAGAACGAGGGGAAAACAGCTTCGAGAAAGGAACCAAAGGCGACGAATCAGTACACTTCAGCGCCCTCAAAGCGCCGACCCCACAACAAATCCATCTCCTCTATCTAACCCTCCATCAACATCAACCGCCCACCATGCCAACAACCCGCGCCGCAACCGGGTCCTCCCGCCCACGTAACTTCCCCGCTGACCCAGCCCCCGCGCCTCCTGTAGCCGCGAAGACGAAGACTTCTAAGCCAAAGACTGTGAAGGCAAAGGCGAAGGCTAATACGTCGAAATCTCGGGATCTGAAGGTCGTGAGTGGGCGTGTTGAGAAGCCGGGAGCGAAGGCTGGGAAGAAAGATGGGAAGAAAGAGGTGAAGAAGGCTGACGGGAAGACGAAGAAGGAAGAGAGCAAAGTGGAAGGGAAGTTGAAGAAGGTAGCGAAGAAGGTGGAGGGGAAGGCGGATAAGGGGGTTGGGGAGGTGGTGGGGGATGAGGGGAAGGTGGTGAGTGTATCATTTCCTACGTGTGTTCTGTTGACTTCTTTGGGGCCAGAATAGGTCCTAAGAGGTGGGCCTGGCACTATGAGGGGAGAATGGGGGTGTTGGTGCCGCTGCTAATGCGATTCTTGAACAGGCTGATGGTGAGAAGAAAGAGAAGACGGCGAGTGCGACGACCAAGAAGGCTACGGCTGGGCCGAAGGCGAAGAAGGCTTAATGCGGAATTGTTGTGGAGTCGTCCTGATGCATGTACGCATGCCCTATGAGTGTGATGTAATACATGGCTATGGAAAAGCTGTGTGTGGGAGCAGGTATAGGGCTCTTGTGGCGGGCATTATGAATTCGTTCCCACCCAACAGTTTCCGTCTGATTCCCTTTCCTATTTTCCCGTGTATGTCTCTCTCGGTCCAACAAGGCTGGGTCTCCTTCACATCAGTTTCCTTTCCCACTCCTGTTAGCGTACGGGCAGACCTCTTTCCTTTTCCTCTGGTTCTCTATGCATGCGTTTTGTGTTAGTACGTTTATGGGCGCGCTGTCCTAGGTGTTGGGGTTCGGCAGGTAATTCCTATAATATATCGAGGTTCAGAGGGGTTTCGAAGCTCCAGACTCCAGCTGGAACACTATAAGAGCATTAACTATAGGAATTGGATCCCGAGAAAGTTTGTAACAAATGTTGCTCCAAAGCAATATGAAACAGAGCAGTTTCCGGCACACTCTGGTGGTTATGGGTAGGTACCTTTGTTTTTGTTCTGCGCAGTTACTGGGAAGGTCGTCCGACCTCTTGCCTTCAAGGCGCGCTTTCCTAATCAACTCACCGTGTGGGTCCATCGTGATACCTGCATTAGCATAAAATCTTAATTTGACCTCAACGAAACCTTCGTTGAGTTATGCAGTTTCCCGAGGCTCGCGCACACCAGAACGCGGTGATGTTGGGTGATCAATCTGCCACTTTTCATGCACATATATTGCCCAAAGCATTGAATCTTCTAGTTGCGAGAGGGAAAAATCAATACAGAACCTGGGATTTGGTTCAATTGCCATTTTGATGAGAGAAGTGCGAGATGGCCGACGCGCAGATGAAGACCTGTATTTTGACAAGTGTTATTTGATTCTATAGCAACATGTTTTTCAAAACCGAAAAACATTGATTCAGGTAGAGATTCAACCATGCGGAACAGAGTCTATCTTCACATCCATCTTTCCATTTCCGCCTGGGACCTTTTGATGGTGAGTCAGTCCAGAACCTCATAGGGCCGTACTGCGCCCTCTCACATCCGACTGAACACCCCCTTGTACTGCTGCTCTGAGTTAGATCACCTAACTCAAGTATTTCAATTAGCTACAGTCTAGTTTACGGCACTAGAGCACGGTGTTTCAAGGCTGAAGTAGGCGCTGTCAGGCCAATTACAGCGTCAGATATACCCCTGCGACCCCCTGTCTGTTCAGTCAGATGTGAAAAGGCGCAGTACAGTATACTATGCGCGATAAGGATGTTCCGACGCTAGGATATATGCGTTAAACTAATAAATTTCGTCCTCCCCGTACGATTTCCTATATATATCGTTAAAATCTTAGTCTAAGGATTATCCTTACAGTCGCCCTATATATATCCTTGTATAGTATAGTTCTATCTATCTCTGCAGAGGCCTAATTAGGTAACTGTTAGCCCCTTATTTATAAAATTTTAGGGTAGAATACAATATGTAAAAGCTTGCAAAAAGGGGCTCCTAGGTATTACATTACAATCGTAAAAGTTTTATATTTTAGTAGCTAGAATATAGGTATAAAAATAGCTAAAACTATACTATAATTTAGTACCTTAAGTAGTTGTATTTGCTCTTCTATCTGCCCTTCTATCTGCCCTTTTAGATAGCTTGTTTTAGTAACCTAGATTATACTTGCTGTTATAGCTTTAATAAGGAGGAGTAGCAGGCT